TTTATGACAATTTATAATTGAGTATTAACATATTACATTATTAATTTATTTTAATTAAATTAAAAAATATTTAGACTTTTGTCCAAAAAAAAAAAAGGTTTACACTTCTTATAAACTATTTTTTAATTAATATAAAGAGTTGGCTTCTTACATGAGATATATTATTTTTAGAAAAAAATATTTACTTTGTTCTTTGATTACTAAGATTTTATTTTATTTTGATATAATACATAAAAAAAAACTAATTTTTTAATGTATCTTGTATATATAGTTTATTTTTAAAATTAATATATATATATATATATATATATATATATAATACTTCCTTAACTGTCGTATTACTATGCAGTTACTCTCTTTCAACAGACAAGAAGAATATAAAATATTCTATAAAGATATTATAACAAAGGCAAAGATAGAAATAGTAAACAAGTGTATCTTTTTGCAGAAACAATATATATATATATATATAATATTTAGTGGAGAGCTTGCAATTCTTCTCAACACGAACTTCTCGCAGCAGCAATGATGACTCAAGGTCATCAACTGAGGGTGGTTGAATCTTGCTCTCATCATATGAAAAAGATTGATTAAGGCTTTATATTTGGATGGTAATCCTTCAAGAATGACATCAACCTATTCTCGATCGTCCGGAGACAAGATCACCAATCACATAAAAATTGATATTGCCCTTGATTCTTGCTAAGAATGCAGCAATTGCTCTTTTGCCCAGTGATGTATTTCACAACGAAGTTCGGAATTGTCCCAAAGATGATAGGCATGTTTGCAATCAATCACTTTGATTCAGATGGAGCTAGTGATGGAAGATTGTAGCCACTAGAAGACTAGCACATTTTGCTATCCTAGGTAAGGTAGGCTTTGTTGACAATGCCAAAAGTTTGATCAAATTCATTGAGAAATCTTGGGAAAATTGATGCTTTGACCAATAATTGATGAAGATGATGGCCTGTATTCACCGACTCAATTTATTGTTTCCGTATATAGAAGGAGTTTCTTGCCATTGAGCTTTTCATCAGTGAAATGAGTGAAAGAAATTGGTGCATTGGAAGGAAGAACAAAGGCTAATGAAGGTGTATGATTTCAATTGGGAGAGGGAGGTAGGGTGGGATCGAAGTGGTCTTACATGTATCTAAGAGGGTGGCAAACAAGAACGTGGAGGATTGGCGTTGGCCATATTATTTGATAACCTCAAGCTTTAGATATAATACTAGATTTACGAGTATAAAGAGGTCTTGCGAAATTGTATTGTCAATGGTTATTATAAAGAGGTCTTGCAAGGAGTGTGATGTTTGGCTTGAAACCGCATCAGGTGCCATGGAACAACATAGAATGATAAGATGGGAAACATCTTTGGAAGGTGTAGTGATGACCTTGCTTTAGTGCCATGGAAAACCCGGGTATGACTGATTTTGGTGGTTTGCTTTGTGATGCAGCAAGAGTCTTGCTTGGAAGTTTCTATGGTCATGTTGGTGTTGTAGATGATACTTTTGCTGAACTTTTCGCACTCCTTCATGGTCTTCAAACATCGTGAAATATGGTGTTTAGAAATGTCATGTGATTGTCTGATTGATTGGAAGTTATTAGGCTCATTTTATATGTTGCTTACTATATACAATAATCATTATTAATATCTAAGACATTACTTTTTTTTATCAGTGATCTATGGATCTTGTTTAATTTTCTCAATGATCGTCTTATTGGTCTTGATCAATTCTTGTTAGTTGATGCAATGTGAAAACAGACGTTCAGGAAATAAAAAAAATAGCAATGAAAACAAATGAAAATGAAAATTAATGATGAGTGATGCAACCTAAAATTCTAAGAAATAATATAAAGTTTGAGAATTAGAATTATATTTTATAAAGATAATAAGATTGGTTTATTCATGAGCACACAAAAATGTCTTATCAATTGCAATTTTTCTTTTAAGTTTTGTTATCATCAAAATGGTTTACAAATTTTAAGCAAAATATTTTTCAAACCAAATTAATTAGAGTTTTTGTGTTTTTAAAATGACACTACAAAATTACTTAATTAATTACTCTACTGCATTCAATCAAATACATCCATAATATTTTTTAGTATTTGTTTGCAAGACATGGCCTAATTAATCAGAGACCTTGCCTAATCAATTAAAGATCCTTTGAGACTTTATTTTTAACTTTGAAGCATTTGCCTAATCAATTGTAGCTTTTATTCTTTTGATTTTTAAAATATTTTTTTTAAATGAAACAAACATGCTTTTAAATTGTTTGTTTTTAAATTAATAGTAATTGATGAACTTCAAGGGACACTTTTGTTTTGTGAGAAAATGATTCTAAGAAGGTCTTAATTAATTAGAACTCATCTATTATGTTTGGTAGCACACTTATATCAAATTATTTATGTTTTTGAAAAACCATTCTTTCATCCTATTCAAATTTAAATACTTTCTAATATATTTAAAGGGACTTGTAAATTTTTCTTACAAACGAAAAACATTAACGTTTACACGAATCATATTGTGTACAATTCTCATTCTTATTTCTTTTAACTTCATTACACACATCTCTTAAAAATTGATGATGGGTGATTTAAGTTAAGATTTCAAGAGAGAAAATAATATTTAAGACTTGAGACTGTATAATTTGTAAAGATAACAAGATTGTGCGTTATTGATGAGTTTATAAAAATATTTTATCAATCATATTGCATTAGATTTCTTATATAAGTTCGATATGCATCAAAATAATTTTTAAACTAAATTAATTGAAGTTTTAATATTTTTAAAATAATACTATAAAATTGACCTAATTAATTACTTTAATGCACTTAATCAACTATCTTAGTAAATGTTTTAGTATTTGATGGTAAAACGTGACTTAATTGTGTAGGAGACCTAGCCTGATTAATTAAAGAGTTTTAAGAACTCTATTTATAATTAGCAACATTTGTTTAATCAATTAACATGTTTTTAAATTAATAACAAATGCTAGACATAATATCCCTAATCAATTAGGGATTAGATTTTTAAATTTAGATGTCTTTACTCAATATCTTAAATAAAATATTCTAACGATTATTATAGTAAAAAAATATATAAAAGTAATATTTAAAAATTAGACATAAGTTATAAACATTTAGTAGTCGAATTAGAATAAATTAAGTTTACATTTATCTATCATTGTTTCTTAATTTTTACATTTTATTCATTCATACTACACTTCATCAATTTTAAATAAACTTTGATCTAAGAAACTATTTGAAAACAGTATCATAAATTGATTTCTGAAAATAATTTTGAAATATTTGTAAAAATCTTAAAAATTTAATTCACCCCCTCTTAAATTTTAAGGTTACTTATATAACGTTTGTTTAGGTGTAATAAGAGGAAAGGAAAATTAAGAAGTGTGAAAATACAAAATTTTCACTGTTTGGATTGCATGGAAAGGGAGAAGAGGAATTTTTTTGTTTGGGTCCTAACACAAAAAGGAAGTCCAAAAATTTATGGAAATGTACGGTGAGGAGGAGATGGGTGGGACAATGACTGAAAGGGTTATATTTTTTTTATTTTTAAAATAATTAAAATAACATAAAAATTATTTTTTATAAATATTTTTAATACAATTTAATTATTTTTATACACTTTTTTAATTATCTAAATAAATAAGTTTTTATTTTTTTCTTATTTCAATTTATCTAATATATAATATTTTTCACTGTATTATTTATCTTCTTATTTATTTGGCTAAATTTTTTTTTAATATTTTACCCCACATTAACAAAATAATATTATTTTTTTCCGGCCATTGCTTCTCTTATCTCCTTTTCTCCGATTCCCCCACCCCCGGTCACCGTCACCGGCACTCCCTAAAACCTAAAGTCTTACATAATAACTATTTATACGATGTTTCATTGTAAAGTCCAATAATATTTCATACATAATAATTTAAAAAAATCGTTACCTTCTTATTGGACCGATTGGAAAAACGAAAACGACAAAAAGGAAATGTCAAAATTTTGTTTAGCCAGTGAAAAGAAATATTGACAATAATCAATGTTATATCTTTCCTTTAATGTATATACAAAATCAGAAGGATAACAAAAACTATGACATACATAGGCTTTGATATGAAATTCGAGAAATAATTATACATTCCTTTTAGGAAGAGTGAGCAAAGAAATCATGTTTGTTTTCATAAATTGAGATAAAAACTTCCATGTAATTTCATGTGTAGATTTGCTTTCCCTGAATGAGTGAATGTGATACAGAGAGAGGAGCATAACGATAAGGATGCAAATGAAACCAAATGAACATGTATGAACAAATTAAAAGATGATGAAGTTTATATGAAAAATATAATTCCTCTTAATAGCAGACGCAATGTTGGGACGTGTCCCTTGAATGAAGTGCATAGAAACAGGCATCTTTTAAGTAATAAAAGTTGAAGCAACCTTGAGCGTGCACCACACCTCCTTCTTTTCCTAGCTAAAATAGTAAGATTTCATTTGAAAGTTTATAAAGACAAGAAAGAACATGATTTCAAGTTCTTACCCTTCAACATTGGATAAGAAGATAATTAATATATATATTAGAGAAATTTAAAAATATAGATTTAACAGGGATTATAATTTTTTTCTTTTTTATCCAACAACTCATAAATAAGAGTTATGATGAAATAAGTCATCTCTTTTCTTTTATTTTCTCTAAAAAACAAAACATAAGAGAGAAGGGAAGCAAAAGGGTAACGATCAAGCAATGGGCTTTTCTTATCGTAGCTGTTTTGGGCACAAAAAGTATATGTGGTTGATTGAATCAGGTTGTCAGTTTCGTTTGCATTCGTTTTATTGCATAGCTTTTGTGGTATTTTCTTGCTGTTGGGTCGGCAAAGGCAAGACCTTTTCATAAGAGAAGAGCATATGCATGCATGTGGTGATAGAGAGCTTAGTTTGCTCTGAAGATCGATCGAGGATTCAGAGGTTTCTCCCAACTGCAGAAGATGTCAACAATGGACTTGAGGCAAGCGTTAGCTGGGCTTCTCACGCTCTCAATGTTCATAATGTTGGGGAACATGGTCAAGAAGGACCATTTTGATTCAATTTATGATGTAAGTTACCTATCTTTCACCACATTAGTTCTTAATTATAAGCTTTGTTGCTTTCGTTGTTTGCTTCAAGTAATTAAAACTTGTACTTTCATGTCTTTATTTTTATTAATGTAAGATGTTTAGTCTTCAAATAATATTTTGCTTGCTTTTATTATTCCATTTTGAACAAGAAAAGGGGGAAGCCAACTTTTTATTTTAAATTAAAAAATTATAAATCATGATATGTCAATTTATTTGTTTTGTATTTTTATTATAAAAATTTATCAAATAAAATATTTTTATTTAAAATAAAAAATTTGTCCTCGCTTCTCTTTCTTTTTTGAAAACTCCTTTCTCAAATAATCTTTAAATAATTATATTACTTTTTTATATAAAATATTTAAGTACTTATTTTTTAATTCAAAACATCAATTAACCAAATTAACTAAATTATTTTAATTTTTTCCTAGTTCAAATTTAACTGATTAAAATTAAAAGAAATCTCAAATGATGTAATCTTCAAAACTTGAACCTAGCTCCTTACTACCCTTTTTTCATAATCAAATCTTCAATAATAAATTCTTAAATTTAGAACTATTCAAATTATTTTTTATTTTTCCCTAAACTTTAAATTAGCTTTTTTGAAAGCAGAAAGCTGAATTGATATTAAAAGATCTTGAAAATGACCATCTCAAGTTAGTATAAAGGTAACTGGACAAAAGTTAATCCAAATATGCTCATATGCAACTCCTTAGTAGCATTCTTGCCTTCCTAAAGAACTAGTCCTTAGACCTGATCAGCAAAGTGGTTACCTTTTCTACCTGTGTATAAAACATCAATATAATTGACCAATTCTATTAACACTTCAATGATAATATTTCTAATATCACAATCCAAAATAAATAAAAAGACAATTTAAGATTGTCATTACCGCTGGTTCATAGGCCCAGAAAACTTCTATAGCTTCAAAGAAACAATTCACAACAATTCAATGATCATTATTTCTTGACACCCCTTGAAATTGAATGCCTACAACACTTAATTTCCTTTTGAAGCATCATATATCAACATTAAACAAATATTTTTTAATTTTCTTTTCTAAGATTCCTTGTCACCCACTCCTTGTCATCCTTAAGATCATTGAGTTTATTAACTCAAAGGCTTTTCTATATGTTTTCTGCTTGTTTGTCGTCAAAGTTGACAAAGAAGAATCTTAACTTATAGTCATTTTTTAAAATTAATGTTATCATATTTATCAACAGGATTTTTTAAATATAGAGTGTCGAAGCCCTCTAGAGTTGCTTCCTTGTCTGTATCATCTTCCATACTTTCCTTCTAAGCTTGGCATTTTACAATTTGTATTAAAAAACATTTCTTTTATCTTTCTGCATCTTTTCTTTTTATTTATAAGACCTCCCAACAGCTACTTTTTTTTTTGTGGCATAACTTTCAATGAAGTTTTGGGTGAGGAAAAATTAACTAAAGGAATTATTTATTATAATTAAGGGTTAAGAAATAAAGTAAGAGAAAAAAATATTACGAAATAAAAACTGTCATGATTTCAATTAAAAAAAATAGTCTACTAAAAGCGTAATTAAGGAAAACAAATGGTAATCGAAAAAATTAATCTACTTTATCTTATCTGATGAGTTGCCTTTTCTTGAGAAATTACATATGATAACTTGAAATGTTGTCTTCTTTCTTTGTGTCGGTTTCAAAGTCGCGCCTTAATTGGTTAGTGATTCATATCGGTGTGCCTAAAGTCAAAAAGGTTCTAGCTATTTGTTGTATCTATTTTAACTATCTTGCATGTTCTTATTTATTAAGAGAAAAAAAAATACACAAATTAAGAAATTTATATATTTTATTAAAATTAATTGTTAGATTTATTAATTTATTCTTCATTAATACAATTTTTTATTCTTAAATAACTTAAATAGATTTGACATCAATAGAAAACAAACAACTAATATTATTAATTACAAAATTTAGTATTTGATTGCAAAACATTTCGAGTTCACTTTATTGAGAGAAAAGATAATAAATTTTTCATAAGGTCGATAAATGATAGAAATAGGAAATCTGCAATTGATGTCTAGCTGGACTCAAACTAGTGAGGTAAGACTGATAAGAATGTGAAGTTATTTTGAGCCAATTTAAGAAAACACACCTTAAACCCGTTTATGGAAGTGAATGTTTAATAATCTAATCATTAACTGCTTTTACAGATTGTCAGATTTTATCTCAAGATGAGAGATAACGAACCTCTCAGGAAATGTACTTACAAGTGTCAAATACACTCTTAGGTTATCATAACCTATTTTATAGTGATTAGACATCATGCGATAATAATAAACTTGTCGTATGCTCCTCAACTTGTTTTCCATATCTTAAGGAGCTTCTCTGTAAAGCTCTTTTAACTACTTTTATTTTAGCCAAGATATTGCGCCTCAAATCTAGTCCAAGTATTATAAATAGGTCTTCTAAGAAGCGTTAAATTTAGATATTTGGGTCATTTAATAATTTTTAAAAAAAATATATGTTAATTTTGTTTTTATATAAAACTTTATGAAATTTGATTTATTTAATAAAATTTTTAAAATTAACAGTTAAATTAATTAATTTTGTATTTTATAAAAATTATTTAACAGTATAAGTGTTTTAAATTTACATTTCAAAACTTGAAACTTTTCTTAGATAGTAGAGGTCGTACAAAGGAAATCTATGATACAGTGTGAGAATTTACTAACTGATTCAAAATTGCATTAGTTTCATCTTACATTGTTTGAACTGAGAGATGAAGAGATGTTTTTATAATTTTCTCTTGTTTGGTTTAAAATTTTGAAGGAAAAAAGAAAACAAAATAAAGAATCAAAATCTCTCTCCCGTTCTTCTCACTCTTCTAATATTAAAAAAAAATTAGACAAATGAGAAATTTGTAATACTTGGACTATATTAACTAAATTATCTTGAAACTTTAATTTTTTTTCTCTTCCCTTTTATTGACATTTATAAATGTATATGGATATATGTTACTTTTATTTTCACTCTTCTTCCCCTTTAACCAAATCAAATAAAGAGATTTTTTTTTTCCATTCAAATCTCTCTCCTCCTTCCTTTAAAACAAGTAGGCAGAATGCATTTTATTATAACTTTAAGTACTACTCTTTTGAAAAAATACTATATACATTTAATTCTTTAACTGTAATCTTTAGGTACTTAACAAAGTTAAATTATGGATATTAGTTTTCCTTCTCTAAGTGTCCTGTATAGGTACGATTAGTTAAAGAATGAATCAATAATAATTAAATTTTATTAAAAATTGCATTAAAAATAGAAAGAAAAGTATACTGTTATATTTTTTAATTAAAATTTATTTTTATTTTTTAATCGGTGTGCTTAAGGGCATTGCCTAGTGTTTCCGATTCTCTTTTCTTGTTCAAAATTGAATGATCGGCAAGGTTTGAATTCAAAGGCCACCTTTTGTAGGCATTGGAACAAATAACCAATGAAGTTTTCTTGCACATAACAATGTGTAGGTTGAGATTGAAGCTATACCAGCTTCCCAGCATGCCTCCGTAGCAGTCACTGAACAAAGCCTTGCCACAGTTTCACATCTGAGCAAAAGGGGTTGGAAGGAAAATGGTGAAGCACGAAAACAATGTTGGACTTACCTTTCACTTAGTAAGTTCCCTTCCTTCATATTTGTGATTTTGATGAAGCATTTATCAAATACGTAGACACCACTCAACACATGTTACTAACTTTGGTCTTGACACCCTTTTAATTGTTTCACAAGAATTAAGAAATGTAATTAATTTTATTAACAACATTAAAATTGATAATTTGAATATTTTTTCTAAAATTACTCTTAAATTACTCTTATTATCTTTTAACCAAATTAATTATTTTATAAAGCAAGAAATGACTTGCAATGGCAAGGGGTCTTATACCATGACAAATTTCCAAAAATTGATTTACACTTAAGACCAAAGTTAATGTTATTCATAGCTCATGCTCTTTGGACCTGCAGAACCGGCACAGCAAACTAAAGGTTTCATCACATTTACCTTAACAAATGGTCCTGAGTATCATATTTCACAGGTTTGTTTGTTGCATCACTTTCATTTTCTTTTGTTTTATATCAGAACTTTCCAAAGGAAGTTAATTTATGCTTCATAAGGTTTTAAATCTTCTATTTTTCTTTCTATTCTGATTTTACCACTTCATTGGGATGACTTGCACAGATAGCTGATGCAGTGGTGGTAGCCAGATACCTGGGAGCAACTCTCGTGCTTCCTGACATCAAGAGTACCAAATCAGGATATAGCATGTGCCTGCTCTAGTCTATATAACACTATAAGTTTCTGAATATCATTTCTAATTCTTGTTTGATTTATAACCAAAATATTCAATTTCTGCGTAGAATAGAATGTATATATATATATTAGCTCTGTTGTTCAATTTCCATCCTTTCATTTTTCATAATATCTACAATCAGTATTTCCATTCAGAATATGCTTTAGATTTATCATGTTTCCCTGCTTAAGTTATGATAGAAAGTTTCATTATTGATTTTATGGGGGTGCTTTTCTCAAAAGAATGACAAGGTGGAATGGCTCATCATTGTTCACATGAAACATTTAGTGATAGCTAAATATTTTCAAATTTTTTAACCCATGGCTGACAATGATCACAATTGTTGATTTCATTTCTAAATTTGATTAATAATTTGCAAGATTTAACATCCTATAGAATTTGGCACGTTTAATTAATTAATCATATTCTAGATAATAATGTTATGTTATTGCAATCTGAAGGGCTTTCCACAAATTACAAGTATCTATAGTATTCTTCAGCATAGTGAATTAGTTTTTAGCTATATCAAATTCTTACACATTTGATTTCATTTCAGGAGCCTTGGAGATATTTATGATGTTCAGAATTTTATGTTTAGGCTTGATGGGTTAGTGAGAGTAACAAGGACACTACCTGCCCAAGTATCCAATGGGAACCCACCAACAGTGAAGATACCTCACAGGGTTTCAGAAGACTATATTGTGAATAAAGTAAAGCCCATATACAAAGCAAAGGGTATTGTAAAGATTGCATCATACTTTCCCTCAGTTAATTCAACAATGGCAGGAAATAGGAAGAGCCTGGACTCATTTGCATGCCAAGGAATGTTTGGAACTCTTCAGTTGCAATCAGAAATACAAGAAGTTGTTGACTCTATGGTCCACAAGCTACAAACTTGGAGTCATAACTCAAATGGTCAGTTCATTGCTGTGGATATGAGAACTGAGATGTTGGAAAGGGGGTGTCATAGAAAACATGACACAGGAAGAAAAGTCTGTTATCAGGCACAAGAGATAGGTGAATTTCTCAAAAAGATTGGATTCAATCAAGAGACTACTGTTATTTATGTGACTGAGACCAAATGGAATCCTGATCTTGATGCCCTCAAACATATCTTCCCAAGAACCTATACTAAGGTAGTTTTACTCTGACGTGAATTCTAGTTTCATTGTAGTCAAACTTCTGGGCATGTTAATTTTCTTCCTTTCAAACCAAAGTTTACTTTGTGTATGCCATATTTATGAATGATATCTGCATAACAGGAAAGTGTAATGGCAGAGGACAAGAAGGGAAAGTTTCTCAGCTCAAAAAATTCTGAATTTGAGAAGGTCATTGATTTCTATATCTGTTCTCAGGGTGATGTCTTTGTACCCTCAATTCCTGGCCTCTTCTACACTAATGTTGCTGGGATGAGAATTGCATTAGGGAAAAACCAGATACTTGTTCCAAGTCAAATAACAAGCCCATCAGCTTCAGCCTCTGACTACATATCTCCCTATTTGTCCCAGAAGAACCATTTTGCTTATACATGCTTTTGCTAATTAAACAACCCTTGCTCTAAGTTTGGCTATGCAAGTATGTTTAAGCCGACCAACTAGAGCTTTCTGCTCAGGTTGGCAACAATGGTTATCGTTGAAATAAAAAGTGTTTAGAAATATTTTTCATTTTGTGAGCAAGTTATCATGTGTGATCTGTTGATATCAATGCCATTTTCATGTTTGGATGTTTATTTTCATAGAAGTCAAGTACACTAATGCTATCCAAAAATCAGTTAGATTGGTCTCTGACAAGCATGATTAGCTACTACGCAGACAGCATTGCCATTTAAGTTAATAATGTTTTCAAATAAAAGATATAAAATGATAAATTAGTTTGTTTTGTAGATATAATATGCCAAAACAAATTAGAAGTTTTAAGAATACAGCTATTGTTGGCGAGTTCAATCTCCCCATGTCACTAGTTATAACGGGTAATTCGAGTCAAAGCATCAGAACCGATCCTGCTTAGAAAATGGTGAATAGCAAATTAAACTAACGTAAAAAGTAAAAAGATACAAGATCAGCTCAGATTTTAGAGGTGGTCACCAAAGTATTTCTTTTGGTCCTACTAAAATGGATAGCTAACCAAATTTTAAAATAATACTACGATAACTTCATTACAAAACTAATTTTTATTACTATTTTAATTTTGAGTTTTTAATTGATCCACCGCAAAATTTTAATTAAAGCATTCTTAAAACTAACTGGTGAAATGCAACTTCGGGGATACATTACCGTGCAAAATTTCCACTCAATCACGTCTACACATTCTGCAGAAATTCGTATAAAGCTAACAAGGAATTATTAGTCCTAAGCCGTTGAAATTTTAATTAATCAGTTCTTATTGGACAGTTAATTAACATTGAAATCAAAATACCGAACGACGAGATGTAACATAAATTCAAGCGTATATATCAAGAACACGCAGCGAAATGGAAATCATCCATGTCTTTGCATCTTTTTAAATCAGCAAAATATTAATCATTCGTCAAAGCTTATAGTCAACAAAAATCAAGACTAGCTGAGACTCCGTATATTCTTGTTAGATCAGTAGAAATTAATAAGTTAAAATAATGTTAGATCAGTAGAAAAATAAACGTGTTCGTGTGCAGTGTCCATTCCATTATATGCCATAAGTGATTACAAACGATACAGTACGCAAAAATCTAAAAGCACGGTGTTTACATATGACTATTGAGAATCCTCAGTTTCCTTCCTTCTAGAAGTTTGATCATGTAACCTTGAAAAAACGTTATTGATGGGAGTTGCTGGCACTGGTATCAGTTTCCCAATCACAGCAAGAGGCCAACTGAAAGTAAGAGGGAAAGATAACAAGGATTAGTGGGAGAAATCCTGTGAGAATTTGTACATAAACCTTGGAGGCTACTACTACAAAGTGCCTTGATTTCTTTCGAGCTGCACATGCTTAGAACAATTTAAACATTCAATTCAAGACATTTATAGCTTAAAAAGAAAGCACGCAGAGAGCAAGATACAATTGACTTTCTAGGGCATTCGATTACTGACCTAATAAATCCAATGATGACAGAGATGAGCCACTGTTTCCAATTAAGTCTGACTGTTGAAGTGAACTTCCCAAGAAATTCAACGATGACAATCTGAAAAACACAGGCAATTTTATGGCAGCCTTAAATATATTTCACAGACAAAGGTAAACTACAAGAGAGGACATCAAACAAGACTAACCTGAAGCACAACAGTTAATCCAATTATACCCATAAAGAGGTAGTTTCTCGTGACTCCTTTAAATATGTTGAACTCGTCTGGCTTTCGTGCATTAAATTCATTAAAGATCTGCAGTTTTGAAATCATCATTTCTTTGTCATTAATTAGAAGAGAATCGAAGAAAGAAAACCAAAATCACCACAAATATAAGGCACAAAATGAATTGGGCATGTATTCCCATTCCATTCTAATATCAAAGAGTTTTAGTAGCAATAAAAAGAGGAGGAAAGAGGTTGATACGAGCAAGTACAAACAAATTACAGGAACAAGGTCACAGTCGAGAAACAATGGAAACACTCCATAGTAGAGGCAAACCATAAAAAAAATTGTAAGGAAAATTACTATGTTCTTTTACTTCGTATAAATACATATGAAGATGTTGATCCCAAAATCAAACGCAGTACACCAAATTTTGCTAAAGCCTGTTAAACTTCCGTTAATCTGCTGCCATGAGCCTAGGAAAAGCTACAGTGTCAAAAACTCACATACCTAACACGAGTTGCACTGCTAATCGGCAGTCACAAATATTCAAAAAGAACTTTACTATTATCAGGACCATGGCCAGCTTTAGACCAATAAAGCAGGCGCCTAAGCCCCCCTAATAAAATTAATAGCTTTATAAAATTTTATTCATCATAAATTTAATTTTTTAAGCAATAACCATAATTTTGATAATTTTAATTGTTTTTTTTTTGGGTTTTTTATGTCATTTAAAAAAAGTATTACCAACATAGTAATTACTATCAATTACCAATTATATATCCAAGCTATTGACTTTCCAAATCTTATATCTAAGTTATTGGCTTTATTGCAATATTACTATTATTTTCCATAGCGTTCACTCCATTAATAATTGTTCTATCAATTACTTTCTTTCTAACTATCCTAAAACTTTCTTAATTATCTAATATTCTAATTGTTTACTCCTTTCTGTTGCCTTTTTGGTTTTTCATTTGAATCCCATAATTTGAAAACTAGAGAGGATGAATTAAAAAGGTGTATTGCTTTAATCACGTGCGGTTTTTAAGTTTTGGTGAGTATTCTAATATTGATGGTCTCGAATCTCTTGATTCACTTACAGAATTTAAAAAAAAAAGTAAACAAAAGAAATTAATACTCCCCTAGAAAAATATACAAAAATTAGGCACTTCTCCAAATTCATGTTTAGCTTACCAAGCAACCATTGAAAGTTAAATAAGGCATCACACACAAATCTTGTTTTGTCTTAAGGTCTAAAAATGTTTAGACACAGCCCTGACACTACTATTATAGAAAAATGCACAAGGGAAGGAAATTTTCTTCCTTAAACATGGTAACTATTCTACTTAAAATTTTGGATTTACTCCAACGGCAACATTAACAGAATCAAGCCCTATATTGACAGACAAGTCAAAGTATTTATTGCACCAATGCTACGGAAGGATACTTTTTTTCCAACTTCATAGTACATTTCTAAGATAAACAAACACACAAAACCCCCCAACCCCAAGTAGAGTCCTTGCCCCTAAACTGAGATCTCTGTAATTTACCATTAATAGGTCATTAAGACTTACTTGACAGAGAACAAATGCATTGAATATCAGTGTGTTCTTCACTGTGACAGCATGGTCATTCTGGACATGGCTCAGACCCAGTATGCTCCTACCTCGAAAGTTGAGAACAAGCAAGACACACACTTGGTACATTGCCTGAAAATTTCCGATCATTATTGATGATTTAGACACAATAAGTAACAGCATTTATATTAGCAATAATGATAACGCCTGCCAATTACAATCATAAAGGGGTACTAACAAATGAGAAATAGAATTCACCTGTATCAGCAAATTCCTCCACATAATATTGGTTATGAGAGGTTCTCTGAAAAGCACGCAAAACATTGTCAATAATCTCATAACAACATCAAACTACATAGGCATCATCTATTGATTTGATGAAATACAACTGAAACAAAATTGGCCCATTATTTGCAAAGCATTTGGATCCTCTCAGGTGCATGCTCCTCAACTGATTATACCCTGCTGTTCTTTTAAGGACATCTTTTTGGTTTTGTGCAATTTTCTTCTCTCTTCATTCTTTTTTCTATTGAAAAAACTGAAACTATGGTTTTGATAATAAAGCTGCAAACTAAATAAACCCATTATGATAATGCTGAAAACTAAATAAACCAATTACTCACATATGCATTGTGCAAAGCAAAACCATGCATGCAGACAGAAAATCAGCTATTCCTAGTAGTATCTTTATCACTACTGGAAACCTGTTTTATTTTTTTCAGTTTGTAGGGGGAAGGGTAGGGGTGTGTAGTTTCTTCATAAACGAGTGGACTGTATTTCAATTGATTATACCCCGCAATTATTTTGTTTTCCTTAAGGGATATCTCACCTCTGGTCTGGCATATTGCTCCCATTTTAAATTTCTTTCCTCTATTAAAAGAACCAAAGATGATAAAAACAGCAAAAGATTTGTCTTTCCAACCATATTATAGCAATCTTCCTAATTTTCCAAGCAATGTTAAACCCTAGATAATATCTCAAACAAATTCCATGATCCAAAGTACCAAGTAACAATCAGAAAAGCAATTCTAACCTTCGACCCACTGGAGTTCGATCCATAAGATGGTCAGTTGGTGGTTCAGTTGCCAAGGCTAGTGCTCCCAGAGTATCCATAATAAGATTTACCCAGAGAAGCTGTAGAGAAAGCAACACAAAGATTTAAGGTCGTCCTGAATAAATGAATGGGGTAGCATAGCTCAGACAGAAAGAGAAGATCAACCTGAACTGCATTTAGTGGGACATCACCAGATGAAACTGCAGCAACAACATTTATAACCAGAGCTGCCACATTTACTGTAAGCTGAAACTGGATAAATTTCTGAATATTTGCATATACAGACCGCCCCCATCTGACAACCTACATTTGGGGAGAAACAAGAATAACGCCTCAAATATTCAATGCACTAAAATTCCATGTAACTCTCATTATACAGTCACTATATATTCCAAAAGGTATATTTCTACTTCTAGACAAAATAGCTCTTCAAGAGATATAGAACTAAACTTAAACATCACTCAGTAAAAACAAATCAAATCTGCCGATCTACTAACCTTCACAACTGAAGCAAAATTGTCATCCAAAATAATGATATCAGAGCTCTCTTTGGCAACTTCTGTACCTTGGATACCCATTGCAAGACCTATATCAGCCTATATTCCAAAAAAGAAAATAAAAGTTAGTTTACTTCATTAGATCAACAACTCCTGCATTGAGATAATAGTTTGAATTATTAAATTAAAAAACGCAACATAATGTTTACAGATATCATGACTCTACAACAATAAGATAGACATAGCTTCACTAAATGTACCACAACAATCAATGTCATCATTGTAACTACTCGTGAGTCGTTAAACTCAACGTAATAATACAAGCACAAGCCCCAGAAAACATAAATGCTACACAAACCTCATGAAGTGCAGGAGCATCATTTGTTCCATCCCCTGTTACAGCCACAACATGACCCTTCCTTCTCAATGCTTGTACTAGCAACAGTTTGTCAGTAGGAGATGACCGTCCCATAACCTATTACACAGTAATGCAATAAAACTCATTTGCAAAGAATAACACTCAATATTAAGAGCACAATAACAAGGTTGTCATAGCAATTGGATTTTACCGATATTGCTTCAGCAATTTCATCTCTCTCTGCATCTGACAAGGCACGAAATGTTTTTCCTTCAATGATGTTTGGCTCTGTAGCATCAGCAAATGAATTAAGTATTCCACATTCCACAGCAATTGCTTTTGCAGTTTTCACATTGTCGCCAGTGACCATTTTTACCTATGATTATAAATCCAAACCACAATAATTAAAATTAATTGCATAGAGAAACTGCAGAGGCAAAGCATACTGCCTTTCTTAATTTCAATGCTTATTTTTCATCATGTTGAAAATCAGATGTAGTAATATAAAATTTGGTCTTTGAATCTTCAAGGCTTCAAATATAAAAGTGCACACATATAAAAGCACACCCATTCTGCCCAGATTTTTCTTCTTCTGTTTGGTTAAGTTTATTTTAGAGAAATAATAGCTTGTTTACTGCCAGCTTCTTCAGAGATTTTGAGAAAAAAAAAAAAAAAAAAGATCTTCAAAAAAAGGCTATTCCCAAACAACCACTACGAAGTTTAGAATTTTATTTTTTACATTAAGCAGTTATTGAATTAGATTTCACAATTTTTAACACAGCCTTCATTTGTCCACAGACCACCATTAGCCACAAACAACCATCCCAAAATTAATAATACTTTATGTAACCAAAACCAAACATGTTCAACAATAGTATCTTAATGGGAAACCAAAAATTTTAATGATATAAAATACCTTAACCCCAGCTTTTTGGCAAAGATGCACTGCATCTTTGACACCAGGTCGACAAGGATCCTGCATTTTAATACATAATGATATAAGAAAAAATAATAAAACACAAAATCATAGAAATTTAACCCACCAAACCATTTTAGAGTAGGATGCTGTCAGAAACTATAAATATCAACTATAGTTTTTTGTGAAGTCTAAACATATACAAACTAGAAAAATTTTCCATGCAAAATAATTTAGGGTGTCAAGCAAAGAGAAAAAACATAATGAATAAATAAACAATATTAAAGATCCCCTGCTCCCTCCCCAGTTCCAAGCATATAACAAAGTGGGATAACCATTTAAGAAAATTGGAAGCCTATTAATATTAGTGCTAAAGTAGCTTTAACTTTAAATTAGAGAGAAAAAAAAAAACCTTGGGAATAATATCATAATACAGACAGACAAATATAACAAAAATGAGAAGGATAGACGAGTTTCTAGATATAAGAAATACCTTCAGACCAACAATAGCCAGTAAAACAAGATCATCTTCTGGTAAAGACCAGTGAGCAAGTAGTTCTTCATTAGTTGGAACTTTCTCCTTTTCATATGATCTATATGCAATGGCAACACAACGTAGGCTATCAGCAGCCATGTCTTCAATAGCTTTTTTGAAAAATGTCATCTGCAAACCAGATAAACTTCACTCAGCCTTTTCTCAAAATCAATAAAAATTAATTGGAAGTGTTAAGAGTCATCCCAACAGTTCTTATACTAATTTTGTTTGCTTTGTTTTATAAATGTAACATACAAATAAAACTCTATTCATGAAGAAATTATAAACTGATAGAATCTGTTGATATATTCCAAAAGCCCTGCATATTCAGATCTCGTTGCTTGTATAAATAGTTCATCTCACTAAAATATAGTAAAATTCAATTATGTAACATGTTAAAATATAAGTCAAAAGTCACAGAGCTACTGTCTAAAGCAATTCATAAATCAATTCTCAATCAAATCCAACAAAAGGAAATGATAGAGGAAAATGGGGCTGGAGGAAGAAAAACTGTGTAATAGTAGTTAATCTGTAACAGGTTTGTCAGACCTTCTCCTCATCCATCTCCACTAACTGGTCATTTGCATCGATATACCCTGTACAGCAGGCTAGAACTATCTCAGCAGCACCTTTCCAATGTATATGGATGCCAGAGTCAGCCTGCAAATAAGCACAACATTATCTGTTTAAATGACCTGTCTGCCAGAGCAGATAGAATATATCATTAGGAAATATACTAGCTACCAAGCAATGTATCAGTTAGTTTAGAATAGAAGCAAAATATCAACATAATTGAGTCAAAATGCCACAAAGATGGTACCGTCTGAATTGCAACTCCCCCTCTTTTTTTCTCTGAATTGAATGGAAAGACATGAATAATGGATGATTCTGATCTAGCAGCCGTAAAATTCATCCCAAGCTGAGATTTGATACAACAGTTATATATTGTTGTAACTTGTAAGGACATATGTTAGCCCAAAGAGAAAGGAAAAAACATCACTTCCAAAACAAACCTGTATAGCCCACTGTAAAATTGCTTTTTCTGTTGGTGATCCCGAAACCTCGACATCACTAGCACCCTGTAGAGAACAGAAATAAGTGAAAAGTAGAACTACTTAACTTATACTCATGCACTTTATTTTTCAGAATTAGGAAGAGGGGTGGGCAGATATGTAAGAAAACCAACCCAAGCATACCTCAGGTGCATAAACACTGCCATTAGTGTTCTGTGCAACACCTTCAATCAGTAGAGAGCGAAGCATAGGAAAGGACTCCAACTTGTGAGGAGGATCAATTTTCTTACCCCCCGCATAAGCCTCAACCACAGTCATCTGTTTCATTTAATGAATTACCAAAACGAAGAGATCATGAAAATCTGCTGTATAGACAATTTTATTGGATATCACATTGATAGAATAGTCAACATTTTAAGCTCCTAATTTATCTTAAAAAATTGGAAGAATTTTTACTTAAAACAAGCGTGCAAGCATAAATGCCAGAAAAAATATTGCAAGAAGTGTCCTCCAAGAAGTCTATGAACTAATAATAGAAAAGTATCAATTAAATCAACATTTCAAATACACCACCACAACTAACCAGATTCATGGTCAATGTGCCAGTCTTATCACTGCATATGGTTGTGGCAGAGCCCATTGTCTCACAGGCAGAAAGCCTCCTTACCTGCAATTAAATGTATCACGTTAAATAGAGGTACACATATATTTCTGTCCAAATCCAATAAAGCACAAATATCAATTGCCGTACCAAAGCTTTATCTGCCATCATTTTTCTCATTGAGTAGGCCAGTCTATAGCATATTTGACATAAAAAGTGTAAATACAAATAAGTATGATTAGAGAGAGAATGAGAATGGGAAAAATCATGTTACAGATATGAAAAAACATATTAACAACATAGTAGGGATACAGATAATGCTGGATATAAGAATGAGAAAATAAAATATTATTTAAGACAGAAAAATGGAAGACTGAGCAACATTTACCGAAGGTTGGGTTCACTGATTTGTTTTAACAAAAATACAGTCACAAAAATGGAAATTTGAATTAAAATGAAGTACAAGAATAATGGCAAATTTATCTACAATGTAACCAATGCTAAAAGTTAAAACATATTCATTAAGACTTGGCAATAACAAATGAATAAAACTAGTAAGTCAAAATCAGCCAACTTACGTCAATGTAACTGCTAATGGGAGCCCCTCAGGTACCGCAACCACAACAATGGTGACCTAAATATTCATCGGGTTACAATCACTACATAGATATTAAATTTTAAAGACTGAAATTTATAAATATGGAACCAAACATCTTCAATTGCACCAAGCATGCTCTGGCAATCTAGAATTTATCTCACTACATACCGCAACAGTTACTATCTTAATTGCTCCATCAATAGCATCACCAACTTTAGTCCTGCCTGCTCTAAATTGAACACTCCCATCCGCGTTTTTTGTGTGCCCAGAGAAATATCTGCCAATAAATTCCCACTTCAGAAGCATGCAAACTATATAATATTCCATTATTGTATCACGGAGAATATATGGCAACATTGAGAAAATGACTACGTTACCTGGCCAGTAGCACAATCAGGACAATAACAGCAACAGAGAGTCCAACAATACCAATGAAAGTGGCTACACCATTTAAGCGTACCTATATTTAAAAACTAATGGGTGAATAAATTATGAGAAACAATAGAACTCAATCAGAAACCACAAGTAAGAAGAGGACCTGCAAAGGTGTTTCTTCACCAGTATCTTCTGAAATGCTAGCCATTAGAAGCCCCCATTCAGTATTAATACCAACACCAGTTACCTATGAAAACAAATAAACAAGGAAAAAGTCAGACAAACAAATGAGCTGTTTAATCAATAAAACAAATTGGATAAAGAAAATAAATACAATCAATTTAATATTTTGAATTATTGAATGAAGTTCAGTAAAAGTCCATCCATATTTTACTGACTCCAATTTCTACCGGCCTCAATCTTTTAAATAACTGAAATCAACGTGGTATTGGGAATAAAATCCCTTCGAGAATGGCATGCAAACAATGAGCAAAAATTAAACATCCTTTACGATAACAAAATGTAAAATATAAAGAACAAATAAATATGCTGTAAATCCAATTAGGACACGCTCCCACTGTTAGTGCACAATTTATTGGCCCTTTTAATAATTACCACCCACACTTCCAGCAAAGTAACTGACATGTTATTAATTACCTCAACAATCCTTTGAACACTGTTAATTATGTAAACTAAAATATAGCATACAATTACAAAAATGGAAGGAAAAAGAAGTCTAAATTACCAGCATAGTGCCACTGCCATCAGCAACTTTACATCCAGACATCAGAAAAGGATCCTTAGAATCCTTATGAACCTGCAAAAACACAAAAAATGTAGCTGAAAAAAAAAAATTAAGAAACTAATAATTCAAATTTCCCACAAGACAAATAAATCCTTACAATTTTGCTCTCCCCTGTCATACTTGATTCATCAATTGCAAGAGAGTGACCGGTGATCAAAATTCCATCAGCCGGGACCTAGAAAGAGCAGAAAAGAACTAAGTAACAAAAAGGAAATACAATTAGTAGATACGGTAAGCAAAAATGATAATAAAAAGTGACCATGTACCTGGTTACCAATATTAAGAGGTATAACATCCCCAACAACAATATCATATATAGAGATCTCAACCCTTCTGCCACCTCTAATAACCTTCTCTTGCAGAAATCCAAATATGAAGTTAAAATTATGACAAGAAAATTTCTAAAAAAGATCAAATACACAATCAAGAAGTTCAACTCAGCAACAAAAACAAACCAACCTCCAGGTGTATATTTCTCTTCTCTTCATTTAGGTCTCGAAACTGAAGAGACTGCTTATAATCACTAATAGCTACAAAAAAAAGGAGGGGGGAGGGATTAAAAAGGGTGACAGCTCCTTCAAAAGAGAAATTACTAGCATAATTATTAGAATAACTTTCATAGTAAAAGACAAAGTGAACAGAGTGCAGGAGCATGACCTTGGACTACCACAAGGCTCAAAGACTAATCACATAGGAAATTGTGGAACGGAGTCACAACACAAGTAAACACACTTTATCTACTATAAATCTTACAAAGACAATATAATACCTGTGACAACAATAACAAGAATAACTGCAAAAGCAATGCTTCCCCCATCATACCATCCTTCTGTAATACCCTGTAACAAAAATAAAATAAAATTCTGAACTGGTTTAAAAAGTTCTCAATATTAATAAAAATATACTCCTAATCCTAGATTAAAGGGAAGGACTACAAATAAAAAGGATAATTATGGCAAGAAATCAAGCAAATTAATTGATGATCCAAGATAATGGTCCAAAGAATGCAATGTATAGATACATAAAAAAGTCATCAATTCTGGAAACTCTCAGATTGTAATTGTATTGAACATAATTAGAATCAAAATCAGGGCAAGGGCCACAATAACCTACAAAAGACATTTCCCTCTACTGGATAAAATGGATTCAAACACTAACATGCACAGTTCAGATCAAAATAAATATTCATGTAATTATATTTGTACTAGGAACCTAGAACATAAATAGTCCCAGACTCCCAGCATAATGAAAGCTACCAAGTTCACTGCATTGTACGCTAACTGTATATAAGGATTAAAAAAAGAAGGCTTCTATCAAATAAGTTATTGATAAATCAAAAAAATAACAAAAAAGGCAGCATAAGATTGGAGGATTAATATTTTTATGCAAATGACTAAATTAGTGGGGGAAAAGATGCCAAAAATAAAGACCAGTGCAAAATTTGGGGTAAGTGCTTTTAAGTATGGAACAAGTCCACTATCTGCATCTCAGCCAAGAAAAAGAATTGCAACATAACTTTTCCAGGCAATCTCACCTCAGATTTTATACCCAGTGCCAATGAAGCCGCAGCAGCTACCATCAAAATAATCAAGGTCAGGTCCTTGCAAGCATCCCACATAAACATCTGTAAAAGGAACAAAAAAGTCACTACAATATCCCCTCAATAAAAAAAAAAAGATACAACCATTAAGCATCAACAACTCCAAGTACAATAAAAGTTACCAAAAAACTTCTTCCTTTCTTTCGCGGATAATTGTTGGAACCAAATGCATTCCTCCGTTTTAGTAAGTCTGCATCATCACCATGAATCCCCTTCTCTAAATTGGTTTTCAACAAATTCGATATCCCTGCAACCTGATAGTGATTCAGAAGAAACACATGAAAAGTAATGACCCTAAAGAATACAATTACAAAGAAAAATTACTCTTGGGAAACATACCCCTCCATATTGCTGCAGAGCAGCAGTATCATGCTCCCTTGAAATTGAAGCAAGTTGCTCTTGTCCAATTGGAAATTCACCAGCAATGGGGGTTGGAGGAGGAATAACAGTTTCTAACAATTTTGAAGCATTACCCATCAATAAAAAAAATAGAAAAATGAAAAAATAATTGTCTGTTCATAGACTAGGCAAGTTCATGGCAAAGGTTATTTAAATAAAGTTCCATGAAGCACCAAGCATCACTACACAAAAGCATATTCAAGTTTAGGCATGCAGAAAAAGAAAATGCACCAATCCAACAAGATTCTTGGAAATGAAAAAATATATTTTGGAACACCTTAGAAACATGACAGTAAACCCTATGTATCACATCAGAATATGAAACTGACAAAAGGATAGCACTAAAATCCAAATGCCCAACCTGATGTGAATGACAACAACTTTCATTCATTTAGTAAAATTGACTACACATCTTCAGTAAAAAATTCATATACTGCAGTCCAATATTTAAAAGAGGCTATAATGAATAATCAACACTTGTCAAGAAAGAATTTATTTGGCTGATTTTAAAAGTTAAATGAGTTGCAACAATGCATTTGATCATTGCAAAACAATCTTTGATACTAGGTATCAACGGTTTTCCAAACCAATATGTAGCTTATCAGGTGAATACAAGGCCAGTAACACAATGGACCTTTAGCAAATAAGGTACCAAGATATAAAGTAAACACTAATCATTTTCATTCACAAACAATAGGAACAAACAGCCTAACTAGTCAAACAGACTAAATACTGACTTTATAAGCAGATATATTTCAACATATGAAAACAAATAAAGAAATATCTTATGGGTAACTAAATAACTGAATTAAATCAAAATAAAAAGGAAACAAAAGATATTTGCAAATTATAACAAGCATAATTTGATTACTCACCACTAAGTTGCCCCCCCTCCCTACCAGCAGCTTTGAAAAGATAAGCTGCCTAATTGGGCAAAATAAATAATCAGCGCATTTTACATACATAAAATAGGCATAATGAAGAAAGTCCAATTGAAGGAACCATACTCTAATGGCTTGTGCATGTGCTCTAATCTTTCTCAATATTTGCTTCTTCTCTTCTTCTTTTTTCAAGTCCAAGGTATAACGAAATCGGCGAGAAGCGTTAAGTACAAGTGCCGCTTGCTGAAAAAATAATAATAAAAGGGACTTCTTATATGTAAGAGAAATTATATATATACTCACACACACACACACATATATATATAAAGGCTCAAAAATAGTAACGCAGAACAGTCAAATGAAACTAGCTATTGGTCTAACACAAAATTACAAAGCAGCATTCATAATGCTGAAAAAGGAAACAACAAATCAAAGGTTCCATGTCAAGAAAATGCTAGCATTCTTGTTTACAACAAATTTTGGAAACTGAAGTTCATACATGCACAAGCGTCTTTAGAATTTCAGAATAGTCAAACTCATGCATATTATTTTATTTTGACTCATCAAGCTAATACCAAAAAGCCAAATCTATTGGGAATAAACTCCTAGCATTCTGTTAACAGTAAAGAGTTCAAACAAAACAAAAACAAAGGTGAAAGAAGTTTAATACTGATTTCACAAAAGCTGTGTGGAAGTGGTCCAACCTTCTTGCCATTAGCAATAACCTCCTGGTCTCAAATTCCATTCTTTCCTTCTTGCAACCCTAAATGGCTAAAACCGTTATGATTTAAATATAAAATTTTGCCTCTTTTTCATTCATAAAAACTCATTCTACCCATTCATACTTTGCAGGAATATGGAAAGCCAGCAACTAATTCAATTTTTTGAACCCATATCTATTAATCATAACTGAATCCCTAAACTTAGTCTTCTTCAATCCCAAAGGGTCCACCCAAGAAAACAGCTCTTTTTGAAATGAGGAAACTTTGGGAAGGCAGAGAATGTATTTCAGATCTAAAGAACATTAAACCAATATTTATAGACACAGGATTTTATCTTGTCCACTACCTTTGGATGAAATTAAGAAGGCAAGCACATCATTCTTGAATGCTACTTCACAATAAACATACAACTTTGACATCACTGGAGCTTCCCATCTGATGTATCTTCTCACTTTGTGTTAGAGAGTCGGTTCATGCATTTTATCCTTCAAACACGACTCAGTTAAAACAATTAGGGGAATTCATTCTCTCTCTCTCTCTCCCCTTCTTTATATCTCAATTGGTGTCACAGCTATAAAACTTGGAACAAATGCAACTCAATCCTTCACTCTAAATTTCTCTCCCACCAAGCATCCCGGAGTTAGCAGTGCACAAGTAAAAGGCTCAAAGTTGGCCTTCACTAAGCCTCTAAACATTTCTCAAACTTATAAGCCTGAGTCTAACTCTAACTACCAAATTTCTCGAGGGGGATTAAGAACTGAAAATTGTGATGCCAGTTATGAGAGAAAATCCCAGAATGCTGCTGTTAGTCCTAATGCACCTCAAATATACTCTTCGCATCCATGGAAAAATTGCTTCTTCTGTTTGGTTACTTTGGGCACACTGTTTAATGATATTCACATGACATTATGACTATCACTGAACATCCCAAAATTTTGCTAATTGAATGTTCTTCTAAAATATCTTCAGAGTGGTTCCAAGTGATTTTGCTAATGATAGGTGGTCATTTCTAGTTCCCACTCCAAGTGATTGGAAAACTTACTATAATAGATTTGAGAATAGGATGCATAAAAAATTTGCTTAGCTTGCTTTGACACCAAGTACTATAAACTTGTCCTCTGCCTGGTTTGCTACAGCAGCAAACTTAGGTTGACTTTGATAGACGAGTACTGACATTTACAAGTTCATATATGGGAGTATGAATACCTCAACTGCATGAGTGCTAAAGCTGCATTGCAGTCCAAAGTTCGACCTTTCCACACGGACCTCCAAACTGCTTTGCCCCCAGATAATCAATTAAAGTTCTAACTTGCCTTGCCATAACTAGACAAGATAACTGCCGGATCTTGTGAGCTGTGACTGTTTCTTTTAGCCACTCTTGTGAGTCTCCGTTTCCTGTCCCCATAGGTTGATATATACAAACCTTCAAATGCTATTGCAAAACCACCATCCAGAAGCATTCAGAACAAGAAGGAATTTCTCCACTAAAATTTGCAACACCCAAAAATTTGAACAAAACCAGTCCCCATAAATTAGGTAAGTCTAAATGAACCACTCTTCTGTTCTAACAAACTTTTTTCCTCCTATACCACCGTTAACCTTCCTCATCCTCATAATCCTCATTGAAAACCAATACTATTTCCCAAAACATATCTAGAGACATTATTCAGACATAACCACACTACTCCACAGTCAATCCATTCCCATCCCTAGAGTCCTTGACGATCTCAATACACAACTACCTAAATTCCCAGAACTTTCTCCACTACTCAAAAAACCCTACCTAATCAAAAAATTTAAAACATAATTCATACGCACTCCACAAACCACTAAATCCACCATTCATAGAAACCAAAACATGAACCGATGAAAAAAGAGTAAACAAAATTCAAAAACAAAAAAACGAAAGTAAGAAACAAAATAAACAAAAACACAAAACAAGCAAAGAACACCAAAGCATGTGAGCTAGAATAGAATAGAAGAGCGTACCCTCCAGCGCCTGAGGCGTTCAATCGAAGCGTTCTTTGTTCTGGCAATATCAAACGGATCGGAAAAATCGCCGGGGTCGTCGATGTCGGCAGAGCGGCGAGTGGCGGGACCAGCCTCTAAATCATTCTCCGCCGCATGCCGCCGTGGTGAAGAACCATTCAGGAAACTCATTGTTCCCAGAAACTGTCGCAGGAGAGATGGCACCGTCACTTCTGTGATTCGCACCAAATCATAACATAATCGATTGCTCTTATCTCTTCACTATCAACTACCTAACTCCACTCTCACCACCCAAACAACTTCACTCAACAGATAAAGCTTTCGCACACGAAAAATAAAAACAAAACAAAATAAAAAAAAGTTATCTCTCTTAAGCCTAAACCCAATCCCTGTTTCGCTTAATCCGCTTTCTGATTCTGGATTTAACTCTCTCAGCCATGTTTGGCAATAACAGAATCTGCTCAAGCTTTTTTTCAGTTCAGTGATGCTATCTTACCTGTTTTCCCTGGTTCTAATTCATTTCAACCCTCCATTATCACGGGTCAATTGCAGAGTTTTCAGATACACTAAACTCAACGCGGTTTTCAAATTTTATATTTTCCACAAAATACCAGAGAAATAAAATAGTAAAATCTCACTATCCGTACTTTTACGGCATTCGAAAAAGAGTAAAAACAAAAAATAAATAAAGCAAAAGAAGCGCTTTTATTAATTTCCTATTTTGCCCTCCTTGACCAAATGTTCTAAGACGGAAAAATCAAACGGTGGAGAGGCGCAGAGAGCGTGAGTGACTTACAAGGAAAATACACTGTGGCCTTTTTTTTCACAGTGACAGAGTTGCTCTCAGAATTGGTTCTCTTTTTTGGTCTCCTCTTCCTTTCTGGAATACTGAAAACCTAGATAGTTCAGAAAAGAATAAGTAAACAGAAGCACAACTGACAGTGTTATAGAAACCGACAGCAATTAAATTCCATTTATCTAACGTTACTACCTCGTGCAAAGAATTATAAAGCGCAGATCCGTATTCCTTTCTTCTAGTCTTTTCTTTTTTAATGTTATAATTCTCCGCTAAACATTCAATTTCAATGCCTATAATAAGAACATGTACTAAGCGTTTTTAATTTAATCATTACTATCATTAAGATGTCTTTAATTAATTTGCTTTCACGCTTTGGAGGAGTAGAGAGTGGGTCAGCATTAAGCAGAATGAATGCATCGTTTGTGTTTCCATTTGCGTAACCGTGTCCTCAATGCAACGTGGTTGGTTACGCTCCTTTGAGCTGGCCTTGTGGGTTTTATGCTTTTTTGTCTTTTCATTATGTATTATTTATGTTTCTTTGAAGTTGCTTTCGTGTCACTTATAAGAAGAGACAGTTGTCCCACATGCAAGGTGATTGGAGCAACGAGGACAACCCAATGCGTTGATTGAGGCTTGTTAATTGCTTCAGTTTTCAGTCGACAAAAACAAGAGCAGTAGCTAATTATACAAATAATAATTATTATTATTATAATTATGAAATGTGATCAAGGGATTAATTTGCTTGTCTTAGAAGGAACATTAAAGTTTTGACAAATTAAAAAGCATGATAACAACATTGAAAACTGAAAAAGAAGGAAAACCAGGGAATAATGCTAGCTGGTGCAGTTGTGAGTTAGCGTGGCATGACCAAAGTGAATGCATGAAGGGGTTACGCAACGTGGCCAAGGTGCGGGGTTTACGTGGGTATTCAAGAGGAGCATTATATAATTGACTAAGGCTAAAGAGTGTGAATCAAAGTTAATGGTGGTTTTAGGCCAACAAAAAACGCCTGATATATATATATATTTCAACTGATTGTCCCCGAAGAATAAAGGGCAATGGTTCACATGATAGAATCAACTTTACCTTTAATTGGAAACTAAACCAATGTTGCCTCCTAAACAGAGAGAGAGAGAGAGAGAGATGATGCTGAATTGCTGAAATTACTAGGTGGAGGCAGGTTCTTGGAAGCTGCTGTACGGCGCGTCCTTTCATTTTAAAAACCAACAAATTAAGCAATTTATCTTTTTATTTATGTTGCCAAGTTAACTTGCCGGTGGAAATTATATATACATATAAAAGCATGACAGTTTTCTTCTTCTTTTTTTCTCTCTCACCTGACTATGGAAATTAAATTTTCATTTTGCAAACAAATATTTTAAATATATGAATAAAAAATTAATGAATAAACACTTTTGCATAAAATGTCTATTGTATAAAATATAATAGACATTTTTTATCTATTATATTTTTGCATTTGTTTAAGTAATAAAATATAATAAGTCTATTGTATAAAATTATCCAATTATTCGATCTAACATAAATTTTATCTGATAACAAATTTAAATAAAAAATAAGCATAATAAAATAATATAACATTTTCTATTTTTGCATATCAAATATAAAACAAGATAAAATTTTATTTTATCGTGTTTTTTTATTTAACTCTGATATTCTATTTTCTGTGAACTTAGTTTTAAACTTTATGAAAAGAAGATAAGGACAACTAAATTGCAATTGGAAACAGAAGAAGAAAAAGACCTGTGAGGATAGTTTATGGAGTACTAGAAACAGGAGGTAGGGTGTATTAGGAAAATTCACCACTCTTTCAGGTATGGAGTTGGAACACTTCACAATCGAGCAAGTGCAAAGTAAACACACGAACCTAACCTTCAATAATAGCAAGACACCCACTTACCCAACACACACGCCTACACCTATATTTGGTGTGTGTCACAATTTATGGCATTATTTTCCATGTGTTATGGTAATGGGCACCACTACACCACTAACTGATGGTTACCCAGAAGGCATGCTATGCAATGATAATGCCAGTAGCATTCACAGAGGGAAAATGCCAGAGAAATTATACTCAAATACTAAATATATAACAATTTATATAATATATAAGAATTCATGAGATACAAAGAGATATAAGTGATCTTTTGAAAGGGAAGTATATATAGAATAAGATAAGTAATTAAAAAAAAATGAAATAAGGAGAAAAAGTGGGTTGCATTTATTGTATGGTTTCGGTGAGAAACTTAAATCAATACACATTAGATAGTAACATCTAATCCATATCCGCAAATATTTATTTAAATTATGGGAAAATATTTGATAATGAAGAGACAGATTTGGTGTGTATGTCTTAAGACTCTGATAGTAGACTTTTATAGTTTTTACTATGTATAGCAAAGCGAACTAAGCTGGACAGTGAGACCCAACCTTCCCATGGCATGGCTCAAAGCGAGAGAAATAAGTTAGTCAAAGCTTTATAATTTAGTCCATGTTGAGCTTAAGAAGAGTTATCCTTATTTATTTTAAAATAAAATTTAAATATTTACTTCATGAGAATTGTGTTGCTCTTAAATTAAAATTAAAATTTTATTTTGATATGTATTAATTATTGAACAAATTATTAAGATAGAGGTTTATTTTAATTAAATAATTGAACCAAAATCACTTATAAATAATTATGATAACGATAGCAATAATAATAATAATAATAATAATAATAATGTTTTAAACTAATATATTTACTTTTAATTAAAGGTTTTTTAATGAACATGTAATTTTAAAATAACTTTTTTTAAAAGAAAAAAAACTTAGTACTTTGAGATTCTAATTCTTAGGAGGAAAAAATGTTCATCAAAACATCTTACAATAACTTAAAATGTTATTTTCTTACAAGGAAACAAAATTATTAGAACAAAGTCCTAAACAATCGAGCTCTAAAAATAGTTGTTAAAGTTAGATGATAAATATTGGTATATATTGATATATTATTTATGCAAAATCTTAAGTGACCGAGATTTCAAATGAGCAATGATATTCTCACATAAAATTCTCACAGCAAACTTCTATAACATGTGTTTTTTTTTTATTATTATTATTATTATTATTTATCTCTCTTTTCTTCATATTCTTCTCCTTATTATGAAATGTGTTGCTATAATATATTGTTAAGATAGCATTTTATTGTTTTTGGTGTATAATAGATGGAAAGAAGGAAGAAATTAAAACAAGGAAAGGAAGGAAGAGAAATTTTTTTAAAAAAATGCAAATGATGCAATGTGATAAAAAGCTGAAATAAGAAAAGCAAAAATATTGTGTAAATATGTAAACATAAGTATTGTTGAAATATAGTGTGACATTTTCTCTAATTAAAATTGTGTAAATATGTTTTATTCTTTTTAACAAACTAATTAAAATTGCCTAATGGTCAACCACTGTCAACCATCATCACTGGAAAACAAAAAATAAAAGAAAAAGTGTTTACACTTTACTTTCATTTTTTCTCCCAAGTCCAAAGAACAAATCTCCAATTCTTTTATCGATTTATTTAGAATATGTTTAAAGAGTATACAATAAAAGTTTATCAAAAAATTTAAAATATAACAAAATTTAATATATTAATAGTATTAAATATTATAATTTATAATAATAAATACTACTCGTTATTTTTTATTACATATACTTAGAACATGCATTGAAAAAAAAAACAAACAAACAAACGTTCCATTGAGTTGGGATTAATTCTCCCAATAGGAATCACGACAATTCAATAATTAGAGATTCAAAGAGAGCAGAAAAAAGATTGGTGAAGATTGAAGAGATTACGCTATACCTTTGCAGAAGGATGTTTCAACTGTCTTTGGTCTTTCCTTGAGATTCGTAATTCTAATACCTTCAAAATCGAATATACATTTCTGCAACAACAAGAATTCATATAACATATCAGAGATGATTCATCCTCCTTGGGAAGCCAGCACACGGTAATTCATCTTCAAACAAATTGTGCTGCTTTGTGGTAAATATCATAATCTCACTGATTAATTGCAATTTGAACGTACATGCATGAAACTGATAGAAGGGAAGCTAAAAAATGGTAGGATGCAGAGACATGTCTTTGAAATAGAAGAGGAATAGCAGGTGGATGGTTAGTTAGCAATGTAGATTCTTAACTTATAGCTGAGATAAACTGAATAAGAATAATAATTAATAAAGTCGTGAAATCTGTCTTTTGACTAGGATATGGTAACTTGGTAAAGTGTGTTTGGAAAAAGAGGAGAATATTTAACCAAAATGTTTACTCGCTGGGAAGTCAATTTATTTATTTTAAAAAATTATTTAAATTAATCAGTAAGCTTCGGCTCATTTTGAATACGTCTAGCGCCAAACGATAAAGACTGCAAACAACAAATATACATCCTGGAAGGGAAGAAAGTAAGAATTTGATTTTGATATACTGAATTTTTATATTGTTGATTGATTAAAATATACAATAAATATGATTTTTAAATTAATAATTTTTATTGACACAATTAATGATTTCTAGTCTTCATGTTGATCGGCAAGCAAACACCGCCTGTCACAATGATAAAAATCTAAATCAACGCTTATATCAAGAAAATGAGTTCTAAACTTGAGGTACATTTCAATTTTTATAATTTCATTAAGTACTAATATTTTCTACCTACCCAAAATCATCTCATTACAACATCATAACTAAAAAATATTCACTGAAAGAGTATCCGTTTCTATCAACTGAAGCACTAAACACGTAATATTCTTTTTTTATCCCGTTATGCATTATATTTGATAAAGTAAAATAATCTTACTCTTAAAATTTAATATATATATATATATATATATATTTCATGAAACATAATTTTTTCACATTAATGTAAATCTTAAAAATTTTATATTTAATTTGCAATTTTCATTTAATTTACATATAACGGATTATAATTTATTATTTTACTGACTGTCATATATAAGTTAAATGAAAGACTCAAATCAAATACAATAATTTTTAAATTTATACAAAAATTCTTTTTCATATTTTATATATAAACATTTCTTAATTTATAAAATAACATGAATATATTGTATATTATTTCCATTAATTAATGTCAGCATCTCAATTTTTTTAAGAAATTAGGAAGATAAATGTAATGTTATAAAAATATATGATTCTTAGAATTGATTTCATCCCATATGAATATTTACCCTTTTAGTAACTAATGACTAATGTACAATATAAAATAATTAAGATATTAATGGATGATCTGTATCGGTGTGTATTAGTATCTCTATCAAAATAACCTATATACTATGTTAAAACAAAATGCATATATACTAGT